TTTTTTATAAATGCATTCTAAGAACTTCTACCACTTGAGTTTTTTCTCTCTTCTAGATGGCTACTCGGAGAGCGTGTGGTTTAGCTTTGGCTAAGTTGGGCCATGCAAATGACAGAGTCATTATGCTGGATGGTGACACCAAGAACTCTACCTTCTCTGAGATGTTCAAGAAGGAGCACCCTGAGCGCTTTATCGAATGTTTTATTGCTGAGCAGAACATGGTGGGTGTAGTGTCTCTTGCTGGTCTTCTCATTAACTTCTCAAGTGGCCTACAGGACACAGGGGTCCCATGCTGCATTACAGTTCTCTTGTTTTGTTTTTCTTTTTCTTTTCTTTTTCTTTTTCTTTCTTTTTTGGAGACTGAGTCTCACTTTGTTACCCTTGGTAGAGTGCCCTGGCATAATAGTTCACAGCAACCTCTGACTCTTGGGCTCAAGCAATTCTCTTCCCTCAGCCTCCCAAGTAGCTGGGACTACAGGTGCCTGCCACAACGCCCAGCTATTTTTAGAGGTGAGGTCTCACTCTTGCTCAGGCTGGTCTTGAACCTATGAGCTCAGGCAATTTGCCTACCTCGGCCTCCCGGAGTACTAGGATTACAGGTGTGAGCCACCACACCCAGCATGTGCATTACAGTTTTTCTTCATCTATGAAAGCAAAGGAATGGAAAAAGTTCTCCAGGGAAACAGGAGGCAGGAGAGCATGATAGACTTCTCAGCACCCTCTCCAAAGAGGATAGGGGCAGCAGGCTGAGGGCCTAGGCATCCTAAGCTCCCTGGTAACTCTTTACAATCAGTCTAGCCTATAGACAATTTGACAACCACTAATTGTGGCATCAGGGTACTAGTAGTTAGAGCTGGTGCCTTGGGTAAAGTTGCTCTGTACTTTGCCTCAGTCTCTCCAGAGTTATATCAAGGCAAAAGTTGCTCCTGTGCCTGCACATGCACCCTCCCGAGAGCGGAGTGAATGTGAATAAGTACTCTCTAACCCCTGAAGGAGTGAATGTGAGTAAGTACTTTGACCCATGCCAGCACCACGTGCATCTCCTGCCTTTATGTGGCAGAGGTCAAAACAGCACTGGCTACTTCAAAGATTTTCTTTTGGCCGGAAAACCATGGGCCAGCTGGTGTCATGTAACTGCCAGCAGTACTTTATTTGGAACACGTAGTGTTTAAAGTCTTTTAAAAGTTAGGTCATGGCTCGGCTCCTATAGCTCAACCGGCTAAGGCGCCAGCCACGTACACCTAAGGTGGCGGGTTCGAATCCCCAGCCCGGACCCGCCAAACAACAATGACG